GGCCAGCGGGTGGCATGGTGGTTAAGGCACTGGACATTCCCACATGGCTGGCCACACTTCAAGTCCTGGACCTGGGAGCTTGCTTTCTCACTTTCCCTCTTTCTGTGTTCTCTCTGGTAAAATGAATTAATAAAAAAAATTCTTTTAAAAAAATGATAGGTCTTTTCTACATAGCTGTGTATGTACATACACATGTGCAGGCAAGCACACAGAAAGTGCCCTGAAGTATACATACCAAATGACTGACAATGTTACCACCAAGAAAGGATATGAGGGTTAGAAAGGTTAGCAGGTAAAGTGGGAAATTCAGTGCTTTGCTCAATGCCTATATTGACTCTTATGTACTTATTTCTGGGTTGTAGAAACCTAATATGGAAATCTCCAGTACTTCATACCTTAACCCAGTAGTAGTATAACTCCCAAAAATACCTTCCTCATCCCCCCCTCGCCCTGGGACCCAATCCAAACCGCCCCAGGCGACCCATACACACTGAAAGAGGAGCCAGGGGGCCTCATTGTAACACTTATTTTTATATAAATATCCGCAAGTCATGTTACAGAATAAGCCCCACCGGGGGAAAAAAGTCAACATTAGGGTTTTGTTAAACTGACCCCTGCCTTCTAAGATGGGCCCCAGCCTGGAGGAGCCTGCTGCTTTGGGAAGGCTGGGGCTACTGCCATGAGGCTGCTGAAAAAGCTGCCTGTGTCACCCACCCCTGGGCCAACCCCCTTCTTTGGTGTGTGGTACATGATGACCTTCTCTGCCCTTCTTGCTTTGCCTGGGGCAGGGTTCTGGAGAAAGGGTTCTGGGGAGCAGGGCCCAGGAGTTCTCGGAGCACTTGGAAATGGGGTGGGGTGGACTGAGCCATTGAGAGGTGGTCTGAGGCTAAGTGGTTGAGCCTGTTGGGGCTAGGGGCACATAGAATTAACAAGAACAAGTAGGGGAGGACCAGGGCCCTCAGCCAAGCAGAAACATTGGCTCTTCCCTCCAGCCTAGATTCCTAGGTCTCTTCCCTGTTAGTCTATCTCCTGCTGGACCCACATTCCCAGAAGCCCTGGGTTCCTGTCTATCTCCAACCGGTTCTTCCCCCTGCACCCCGCTTGCCCCCCACAGAGAGGCCAGAGGCTAGGAACACAGCACCAGTCTGAGGATTTAATTAACCAGGAAGGGGACTGTTGGGAGGGGCACCCTTGTAAAAATGTACAAAAGGTATGTGGGGCTATGTGGAAGGGGTGATAAATATGTACATGGAACCTCCCTTCCTTTAGCCCCTCCTCCCCCAGCCCTAGGAGGGCATGAGGACTCGGGTGGTAGGTGAAGGGGAGATGGGGGCACTTTGGCCTCTGGCTTGGTGAGCCCTTGGGGAGGCATGTCAAGGGCCTAGAGGCCCTCAGAGGGGGTGATGGTGCACCTCAGAGGAGATCATGAGCTATGACCTCAAATGTCCCCGAACTCTCATACATACACACACACACACATACACACACACACACACACACACACAGCTCTCTTTCTAGAGGCTTATAACCTCTCCCCTCCATGGCCCCACGATCCATGTGATGCTTGATCTTGTGGGGGGTGGGCTACTGCTCCCAGGTTACATGACCTCAGAGATGGCTAGTGAGGTCATGACCTTTGCCCTCCAGCCCTGGCTTAAAACCTCAGCCCTAGGACCTTGTCAAAAGAAAAGGGGGGGGATGGAGCTTTGCCCCTGCCCCTCCCCTTCCCTCACCTGTCAGCCCGGGCTGGGCCAGGGGCTCTAGGTGGGGAACTAGGCCGGGGGGCGGGCACAAGAGGAGGTGGTGCCCCCAAAAGGGCTCCTGGTGGGGTCTTGCTGAGAAGGTGAGGGGTTCCTGGGGCCGCAGCAGGAGGCGGTGGTGGAGCCAAGCGGCTGTATAGCAGAGGATGAGCAGGCTCTAGACCGTAGAGGCGGGCAGCAGCCACGGCCCCTGGTCCAGTCAGCTCCTCACCCGCCTCATAGAAGCGGGGTGGCCTAGCCAGGCGTGGGGGCCCTGCCAACCAGGTTGGCTCCAGGAAGCCAGCACAGCGTTCTGGTGGACTAGGGCCCAGAAAGGGAGGTGGTCGGGGTCTCTCAAACAGCAGGTGAAGACCCTGAGGCCCGGTGGCTGCAGCGGCGGCAGCGGGGGGGGGGCCGGGGGGGGGGGGGGGGCGGGCAGCCTCTTCCTTTCGCTCTTCCTTTACCCGCACGGATTCCTTGGCTGGCCGGGCCCCTTCCTCTCCAGCCCGGGCCTTGGGAGTAGCAGGAGAAACTCGAAGCTGGGGCCGTGAGAAGGGGAGGTCCCTGGGGAGCAAGTACAGGGGACAGAATGAAGATTCTGCAGCAGTCAGGAGACTGAGAGGGAGGCAGGGTGCGGGGTGGGGGTGAGGGGAGGAGGGTGGATAATGGGGAGATGTACCTGTCCTTCTCCTCCTTGGTGATAGAGGGCTCCCTCCGCTCCACAGGCCGCTCCTTGTCTGAGCCTGGTGTCCGGGCGGCCTCAGGGGGCCGGACCCAGGCAGGAAAGGCCAGAGGACTGCGGTGCAGGCGGCCCCATGGGTCTGGGGGGGAGGCGAAGGCTGGTGGGGCCCCTGGGCTTTCTTTCTGAGCAAAGACGGCGCCGGAGTCTGGGCAGAGGGTAAAGCAGGAAGTAACAGGGGCTAGGGGCAGGAAGCCCTGTCCAGGCATCCGCCCAGGCCCCACCTGAGCACTGCCCCTGCCACAGTTGCCCCCACCCCACTCCAGCACTCACTGAATGTGGGGCTGCCCAGGCCTCCAAAGGCCCCGTTGGAGAGGGCAGCCAAGGAGGCGAAGCTTGTGGGACGCCCAAAGGGATCTGTGGAGAAAAGGGGGGCAGTGAGAACATCAGACAGCTGGGGACACCAGGCAGCAGAGCAGCAAGAGGCCCTGGAGCCTGGAGCTGCTTGGTTTTTAACCATGTGCTGAGCACATCCCTGGGCCAGGCAAGGCGCTGAGCTGTGACATGCACGAACCACTTAACCTCACCCAAGTCCCATGAGGAAGGTAGGATCGCCTTTACTTAAAGATGATGAAACAGGCTCAGAGAGGTGGAATGACTTGCCAACGGTCGTCTAGCCAGTGAGTGGTGCCATTGACCCAGAGCCTCTCTGATGCCAGAGCCGAGCTCTTATCCCCCACACCAGCCGCCTGGACCCATCTTAGCAGATCTCGGCTCTGCAGCAAGCCAACACCTCTGCTGGCTTCCCCCACCTGACATGCAGGATCCTGCCCAGCCTGACCCTAACTTCATGCACGTGTCACACAGCCAGTCAGATGACTAACCTATCCCCCGTGGGAACCTCACAATCTCCCTGGCCAGCAGCACCTTCCTTTACGCCATCAAGCTCAACTCCTCCTTGTCCACCCAAGCCCAGGTTAAGTCTTCCCAAGAAGCCTGCCAAGATACTCAGGAGTCAGGGACCCTGCTATTCCCCTGGGCCTGCACAGCCTCCCTCCACCCCCCTCTCCCAGGTGGCACAGTACCCCCTATGCTTGGCTATTTCAAAGACAGGGTCTCAATTGGAAGAGGCTGGAAATCACCCTGACATTCCCTGCTCATTTTATAGATAAGAAAAGTCAAGGCTCGGAGGGAGTAGAGTAACTTGCCCAAGGTCACAAAGCAAGTAGAACCAGGTCCACCCCCCATTCCAGATGGATTCTGGGCCTGATTTCCATCCCCAGCTTGAGAACTCCTGCAAGTCAGGGACAAGGCCTAGGACGAGGCCTGGTTTGCCCAACATGCCCTTGGCTCTTACCAATGTGGGTGCTGGGGCTCAGGAAGGGTCCGTGGGCCCCGGGAGCTGCCGTGAAAGGATTGGCTGCAGCGTGGACGGCACCTGGGGCAGAGAGGTGGGAGATTCTGGTGAGGCTGAGTGGGCGCAAGGTGGGCCTAGAGCTATCAACAGGCAACCTCAGGCCCTGAGAGGGCTGACTAGACTCACCAGTCGCAGTGAAGAGGGAGGCCGGGTGGGAGAGCTCCTGCCCAGGGGGCAGGGCCCCATAGGGCCCCGGAAGGCAGGGCAGGAGGTCGTTCCGAAAGTCAAGCTTGTGGGAGTCACCCTGCGTGGGACACAGGGAGAGGGGCAGTGAGTGAGGAGCCAGGTCTGGTCCACTCTTGTTTTCCCACCCCTGGATACCCATCGAGGGCTGGCCGGCACCAAGATGGGGCTCAGATCCTGTCCTCTGCCTCTCTCAGCCTTCTCTGGTCATCCCCCTAATTAGCCAGAAAACTAAGGTGTTAACTATGTAACTGCTCAACAGTGATGGGGACAGGGAAGAATACATCTGGCCACAATTCTGCCGAGCTCTGTTAAAGGTGGATGCCCAGAGTCCTTGACTGTGAGACCCACTCTCCCCAGCCCTCCAGTCCCAGTACCTTCATCTTTTCCTGGTGTCTCAGGATCATGTAAGCCACGCGCACATGCATGGCACACCACTTCCCTGGTTTCTGCCGCCCCAGGATGACCAAAGGGAAAGGGAAGGAAAGAACGTTCACTCATCACCCACTTGAAGCCTGGTTCTAGGCCCAGCCTCATCACACAACATCCCCATTTTTCATCCCTTTAATTCCAAGATGACTAGGTTCAATTTATAGCCTAGGAAACTGAGGCTCAGAGAGAGAAACTGTCTTGCCCAAGGTCTGAGCCCAGGTCTGTAACTTGAAAGTCCTTTATTTTCTGCCATTCCACAGCTGGCTGCCTCCACGTCTTGGGCTTCTCACTCATTCTCTAGCAAGACCTCCCTTCAGCAAAATACCCTGACGCCAGCCCCCAGTCTCATGCAGCCTGAGGGCCTCACCAAACTCACCCTCAAAGGTGGCCGGAAATGGTCGGGGATCTGGGGATGGCAAAGGAGAGATTGGAAGCGATTCAGACCTGCTTACTGACCTAGGTGCCTCATTTCCACAGTACCCACTCGCCGCCCCCCCCCCCCAAAACACTTCCCTAGGACTGTGTGTGCCTCCCTCATACTTCTCCTGCTTGTGCCAACAGTGCTTTCCTGTCTTTCCCACTCTAGACACCTCTCCTCCAGACCAAGTTTCTGAAGCAGGCCCCACACAGGAGCCCTGGTTGGAAGACCAGGGTGTGGGTGAGTGGGCAGGCAGAAGGATAGTTTCTCACCCAGAAGAGTCATCCCATTCACAGCTTTACATAAAAGGGATCCACTTTTCTTTAGGGAAAAAAAACACCTTAAAAGGAAGCTGAGGGACCAGCAGTTAGTGTAATGGCTATGTCGCTGGACTCCCATGTAGGCGACCGCAGTTCGCATCCCGGACCCGGTGGCTTAAAACTCACGCCGGGCGCGTGTGAGTGCGTGCGTGCGTGCCCAAGATACCGAGAGGAGAATGGAGGAGAAGGGATTGTGGTGTGGTCATCCCCCCGGGGGGTGATTTCTCACTTTCTGTCTCTCTGTCTGTCTCTGTCTGTCTCTGTCTGGCGAGCGCACGTGCCCTATAGCAAAAACCTCTCCAAAAAAAAAAAAAAAAAAAAAGGAAGCTGAGAAGCCTCTGGTCTAGACTGCCCTTTTGGAAATGTGTCCTGTACTTTTTCCAATGTTCCCAGAGCCCTGAGATTTAAGGCTGCTCCATGTGCTGAGGGGGAGGGAATGCTCTGGATCCCCAGCCACTTCACAAAGGGGTGGCTTATTTTTTCATTGTTTTATGGACAGAGTTTCCTGGTATGATGTCATTTTGAAGTGGGAGAAAATTCAAAAAAAGGTTTTGTGATGTACAAAATGTGAAAAACTACAAATGACTGTCCTAATAATCTTATTCCCAGGACAATTTCATGAAACTCCTATTTCTCACACCTGGGAAATTCTACTGTTTACAGAAATTTTCTCTCATTAGACAACCCAGGGATGCTCTGATTGTCTCCTAATGGGAGCAATCAGTGGCTTTTTCTAAAGTCAGCCCTGCTCTCCCCTCAACAGATCTTCCAGGACCCCAGGATCTGCCCTGGCCCCCTCACCTGTGTCCCCTTCTGGGGGAGCCCGCTCGGCACTGGCCCCAGTCGTGGTGGCAGCTCAGGGTTCGTGCTCTGGGAAAGGGGAGTGGAGGGATCAGCCAGGAGAGCTGGCACCAAGCAAAAAAAGGGGTCTAAAACCAAGCTGGAGATGGGACCAGGGAAGGAGGATGGTTTTGGAGAAATGGGTCTAGAAGGGGAGGGCAGAGGGTAGATGTGGTTTTGGGGAAGGGAAGAAGGTATGTGGGTCTGGGGTGTCTGGGTTTGCATGGGGTGAGAAGCAGTGGTGGCATCTGGATTGAGAGCTCACCTTGGGCTGGAAGGCCCCCTGCAGGGAGCCAAAGGAGACAGCCGGCGGGAGGCCCGGAGGTAGCCCGGGCACTGCGGGAGGGAAGGCCGTGTACGGCTGTGGAGAGAAGGGGACTAGTCCAAGCCGGGGGGTGGAGGTGCAGCCCATCTCTGGTCTGCCCGTCAGTCCTCTGGCCTCCACCCTAAGACCCTCCGCCCCAACCCAGGGACTTCTCCCAGGCTCAAGGTTCTTGCATGTGAAACTGAAGATTGGACCCCAACACCAGGGCCACACACACTGATGCATCTATGCCCACACACCACACACGCCCCACCCCACACACATATACACACGCACACTCACATTATGTCGGAAAAGGCCTTCCATCTTTCCTGGATATTTCTCAAACTAGGGAAGAGAAGGGAACAGTCAGCTGCCAACCAGGGACCCAGGGCCTTCCCCTGGAAAACATACCCTCCCCCCAGGCCTCTAAGCCTCAATACTGGCCCAATGAGGAGCTCACCATGTGGGGGCCGTGGGGTGGCAGCAGGCCCGGGGGATAAGGGGTGAAGTGCTGGTGGGTGTGCTGGTGGGTGTGCTGGTGCTGGTGGTTGTGCTGGTGGAACTGGAAGGCCAGGGGCCGGGCTGAGCCCCCTGACCCCACCACCTCAGGGCCACCCTGGGCATTCAGGTAGCGAGAGTTCAGGTCCTGGCCGATCAGGTCCTGCTCTGTGGGAGGGGAGGGGGAGAAGGCTTTAATATCAGTCACCACATCAGCCTCCTTGGGCCCAGGTGACTGGCCTTCCCTCTGGCCTTGAGCCATTCCCTCCTCAAGCCCTGCTGTCTGCTGAGGCCCAGATGCCCCAAAGCTAACTGAGCCTGAGCCCAGGGCTATGGCCCCCCGCCCCCCCGGCCAGGACCCCAAACTCACCAGAAAGGGCGTTAGCGGCTGAGGCCCCAGGGTGCCCTGGCACCTGCAGCAGGGGTGGGGGTGGGGCGGTGGGTGAGCTGCGCGGACGAGGAGGAGGCAGATGAGGAGGAGGAGGACGAAGAGGATGATGAGGGGGGAGGCTGAGCCACGGGAGGGGCCGGGGCCTTGGGGGGCGGCCGTGAAGAGCTGGGGAGAGAAGTGGGGAGATGAGTGAGGGGGTTGGGAGGTGCCAGCTCTGACGGGAGGGGGTCAGAAGCCTGGGTGGTATCGTGACCCTGGTTCTCCAACATGGGAGGTGGCAGAACCCGGCCCCCAGGACTCCCCAACCCCCCACCCTGACCCAGGGTATCCATCCTCACACTGAGGTGCCTCCCACACCCAACAACCCCCTCTTCTCCCTCTCCAGGTCTCTTCTTCCACACAGCTGCTGCTGCCATCTCTGGCCATATGACTTTCCCCTTCCTGACTCAACCACAGCACAAAACAGATCACTCATTTTGACGCTTAATTACAACAGGCCACCTGGGTTCCCACCCGGAGACAGTGGAAGCAGAACTGCACTGGTCTGGCCTAGGAGTCGGGAGACCTGAATTCTAGGCCCATCTTGTCATGAATGCCCTGGGTGACCTTGAGCAAGTCACTGCCCCTCTCTGAGCCTTAGTTTTCTCAATGATAACAACAATGATAATGATGATGACAATAATAATGGTGACAGCATCAATAATTATATCAATACTTCTTACCCTTTGTTGAGCACTTACTGCAGGCCAAGTGCTGGCACCTGCTTTATATGCTAACACAAGCCGCCAACATTTCATGCCACCTATTGCTCCCATGGCCCCAGAACCATCTACACTGTACCATTTACTTCTTGATCTACTTCGACTCAGTGTCCTTCTTTTCTATTTAGCCTCGCCTTAAGCAATGATATGTGAAATCAAGGGATTGAGGAACCAGTATTTTTTGAAAGCACATAAAAGCTAACTTGTGACTATCTTTAAAAGAAGGACCTGAAATCAACCCCCGTACCACTACAGAGTATACACACTTTGGGAAACACTGCATTCACTCATGAGTTACCCTCACAACAACTTTAAGGATGAAGGTACCATTATTATTTCATTTCACAGAAAAAAGAAAATTGAGGCTCAGAGGGGTGATGTGACATTTCAAAAATCACACAGCCAGTAAACAGCAGAACAAGAACTTGAATCCAGGTCTGACTGACAGCAAAGCCAGCCCTCTTAATCATCATGTCAGCATTTCCCAAAGTATGCTCCAAAGAACAGTATTCCTAGCAGATGTGCTATACAAATAGTTCTCACCAGCAAAGAAAATTGGGAAACATCACAAACTAAATTCCCCTGCACGAGAACGTATAAAGGAGTCAGATAGATCCAGCAATAACCTCTTTAAATGTGTTTTGCCCGGAGACTTTCAAACCTTTTAACCTCAGAATCTTTTTCCAAGTCACATCCCACAGGTACCATCCCATGTCCCAGCCATAGAATAAATGTAGGAGTTGGAGCCAAAAATGACCAGATCCTTCCAGACCAGAATAAAACCCTAGACCACTCACCTGCCAGTGCTGAGGTCCAGGCTGCTGCCATAGGGAGAAGTGCGGAGGCCGAAGGGCGAGACCCGAAGCTGCAGCTGGGGCTGGGGTGGGGGTGGCAGACTGGGGGTGGCCGGCAGGGGTGCTGGGGGTGAGACAGGAGGCCGAGGGGCTGGTGGAGGCGGTGGTTCCTTTGGGGGGGAAGGCACTAGCAGCGGGTCGGGGCCTGGGGGCTGGTCCCGGGCCAAAAAAA